ACAAGTGAGTTTATTTTTGGCAATAATAACAACATATACCCCATGTAATTCCACAAGTGAGGTCTGGGGGGTGTAGGATGGACATTGACCTTACGCTTGCCTTTGTGGGGGTAGAGAGGTTGCATCCGAATAGACCCTCAACTCAAAAGAGAAGTTATTCGGAGTAGGGTTGCAAGAAGAAAAACATGACATGAAAATATGAAGATACACAACACAATGAATCAATAGATCGTAAACCACATTAAAGAATAAGAGACTACACGATTACTAAATACTACTACTAATAAGGAGGAGAGGGGATGACCCTAGCCCCCTGCATCTCCTACCTAAAGGATGACCACACTTGGCTACATACTAACGTTCTACCCTAATCCTCGACCTCCATACCTTTCTATCTATGGTGATGTCCTCAATAAGCATTTTCTTAAAAATCTTAGGACTTTATCAAGCCAAAGGTGATGAGGGTACTTAATTATTTCCACCAATGCTACATGGTGGGTCATGTAATGCATCTTTCATAATTGTGCAATTAGACTTACAGACTATATGCGGATAAGTCTTATTGGTAGTGTGTAGAAAATCATAGCCAAGTTACTAGCAGAAAGATCAAAGAGAGTAATTGATTAGTTTCCGGTCACTAGAATGCTTTTATTAAGCATAAACAGATAATTGACGCAATACTCATTGCCAATGAGGTACTTGACAGAAGGATTAAACATGGAGAGCCTGGATGTGCAATGTGCAAGTTGGATATAGAGAATGCTTTTGACTACCTCAATTGGTCTTACCTAATGATAATACTGAAGAAGATAGGATTTGAGGACAAATGGATTAAGTGGATCAGATTTAGTATTTTAACAATGAAGTATTTAGTGAGTTTACAGTGGACATGTGAGTTTCTTCTCGGCTCATTAAGTGATCAAGCAGAGAGAACCACTCTCGCCTTTCTTGTTTAATTTAGCCATGGATGGACTTAGTAAATGTTGGAACATACCAAACAAATGCAGTGGATCCATGGTTTTAGTATTGGTACAAATATTGGAATACATAATATCTCATCCGTTGTATGTAGATTATACTTTGATTTTCTGTTAGGCAAAAGATCACAATATTTTACCTGAGCGTAACACTACAAAAAAAATTTCATTTGAGGCAAAAGATCACAATGTTTTACCTATACGTGTCACTACTACTTTTTGAAGTTTTATCGGGGCTGCATGGCAACAAGTTAAAGAGCATCATCTATCCAATAAACATGTTTGAAAGGTGCCAAACATAGAAGAACACTGACGTATCATGGGTTGAACTAATAGGGTACTTCCTACCACTTAGGTCCCCACTTGGATGATTTCATTAACTGTGAGATATGGAATGGGATCATTGAGAAATTTGGAAAGAGATTAGCATCTTGTCAGAGGCAGGTATTTGTCAATGGGTGGCAAGTTTAGCTTTCATAAATAGTGTTCTTGACAATATTCCTACCTATCAAATATCTTTGTTTTGTATTCCTAAAAGGTGCAACATTGACTGTTCATGGGATGAGAACGACTCACAAGTTTCACCTAATAAAGTGGATCAAAGTCATGTTATAAAAATGCATGGGAGGTTTGTGAATCAGAATTTGACCATCCATACCAAAAGCTTACTAGTGAATCAAGTCTTTGGAAGGAGGTAATTGTTACCATACATTGGATAAATGACAATTAGAGCACCAAAATTGCCAATGTACCTTGTGTAGTTAAGGCATTGGGCCATGGAAGTATATCAACGAATTGGGGAGTGAGTTTCCCATAATACTCATTTTAAAGCTTGTAATGGTGTTCGCATTAAATTATGGGCATACAAAATGATGTGAAACATTCCACTCATGTTTGAATACCTCTCCCTATCCCAAATTTCCCTAAATAAGGACTTTTGATTTCCTAGAATAGACTTGGCAATATTGGGATGTGCAACTCTGAAGTCTACACAAGATTGGAAAAAGGAAAGCTTGATGACGTGAGCCAACATAAAGTGGTTCACCATTTATGAGAACCTACCTAAGACTCAGAATTGGGGAAACAAGAACATTTTCACATTGAAAGATTGCCACAAGCATATTTGTACTCAGAAAGGTTAATGGCATCTGACCATAGAAGTTTACTATGGAAGACAAGGTTATATGCTTCGTTGAATTGCTCTAAATGAAGCATGATTAAGACAAGATAGTCTCAAGCAAGGAAAGTCCGAAAAATGTCGGTTACTTATTCCTACGTTGCCCAGTGACCACTAACCACTAACCTATGAGATATACTTTATTGTAATTTTGGTTTGAATGTGTCATGCCAGAATATATGAGAGGTATGTTTAGGTTGTAGTCTATGGGGAATTGGTAAGGCCTTCAAGAATATTTGGTTGATGATTATTGTAGTTATTTTTTGGTGTTTGTTGAATAAAAGGAACCAAAGATGTTTTGATGAAATTTCAACTCCAAAATCACTCTCTCAAAGCTAAATGTTTTCTTAACCATTTTTTATGGACTAAGTTGATCCCTATAATTAGCAACAACATACCTGGTTGTAGTCTACAAGTGGAGTCTGGGGAGTGTATGATTTCTGCATATCTTATCCCTACCTTTGTCGATAGAAAGACTGCTTTCGATACACCCTCGACTCAAAAGAAGTGTAATCAAACAAGATTGGAAGGAAAATAACAATGCCAAATAGCAAAATAAACAAAGAAAATGAAGCACCTAAATAATATACGACACATATACTAAATAATACTACTTAAGAAGGAGAAGAAGAGACTAGCCCATTGCCTCTCCCACATGAAAGTACTACAATACTTGACTACCTACTACCCTTCTACCCTAATCCTCGACCTCCATGCCATCCTATTTAGGATCATGTTCTCAGTAAGCTAAATATATGGTATGTCTTATCTAATCACCTCCCCCGGTTCTTCCTCAGCCTATCTTTAACCTCTCCTGAAACCTACTATAGCCAACCTCTCACACCTCTTTATCAGTGCATCCTCACACCTCCTCATCATTTGCCCAAACCATCTCAACTTCTCTTTCTTGGCCACTCCCACCTCGTCTTATAAAATTTTGTTCCTAATACTATGTCTCATAGTATGTCCACACATCCCTCTACACATCCTCATCTTTATTACTTTTATTTTCTGAACGTGTGCGTTCTTGACTGGCCAACACTACCCCATACAACCATGTAGGTCTTCCATCAGTTGGTAGAACTTACCTTTAAGCCTTTCTTTTTTTTTATGACAAGGGAAATCCACAACCGCTACCCTTTGGGTGCGCACAGGGTAAAACCCCCGCTCCTATGCAATAGCTCGCAAACCACATAGGAGAGGTAACCCGCACTAGGCAAGCCTGGTGCGACGAGCTCGACCCAGAAGGCAAGCCCCTTGCTTTCGTTGGCAAGGGGTTTCAAACTTGAAACCTCCAACATGGAAGTCCCAAGCTCAAACCACTGGGCCATCCCGAAGGGTAGAACTTACCTTTAAGCCTTGGTGACACATTCTTATCGCAAAGTACCTCAGACGTGAGCCTCCATTTCACCCATCCCCCTTCAAATACAATGTGCGATACCCTTGTCAATCTCCATTTTTTTTTGGTTTATAGACCCAAGATACTTGAAACTATTTGATGGGTATGATTTGTGTATTGATCTTCACTTTCACCTTTGCTTCATGCTACATAATTGAACTTGCACAATAGGTACTTTGTTTTTCTCTTGCTTAACCTGAAACCTTTAGCTTCTAGGGCTTGCCTCCAAATTTTGAGCCTATCGTTAACTCCACATTGCATCTCGTTGATCAATACTGTGTTGTATGTGAATAGCATACACCACAACACCTCCCCTTGAATATGCCGCACCAATTTGTCCATCACTAGGGCAATAAAATGGTCAAAGGGCTGATCCCTGGCTATATGCACCCGTCGACATTTTTGAAGAGTCCGGGCAACATAGATCCCATGTGCAACCCCTTCATGGCTGAAAAGTGTTCTGAGTTACCTCCCACTATTCTTTTTCGGGTCTTTGGCTCCATTGTACATGTCCTTAATTTCCCTAATGTAAGCCACATGTACATCTCTAACAAACTCTTTCTAAATGTTATTTGTATTTACGCTTTTGTAATTTTGCATCTCTTTGATGCCTTTCCTTATGAAATACCATTAGTTTCATTAAAAAACACTTACAAATGAAAGATACATCTTTAGAATATAAAATATAAATATTAGGTGAATTTTGAATGAATCTCTAGCATATGTGCTTAATTTTCATTGAGAACTATTCTAGTTGAGATATTCATAGAGTGTCCAGAACAAGCTGGTTAATTTTTTTTGAACAGGTAACATATTGGTATATTATAAACACGAACCAAAAAGTGTAGTTCCATATACTTACAAGTGAGATGTCTATCACCAAAAACCTATCAAACTAGACTCTCATAAGTAATCTAAAACCTTAGGAATAGACTTTGCTTCTTGAAGATACTTCTGTACACACCAAAAAAAAAGGGGGACTTAACAGAGAACTAGCTGGTTATTTGAACCTTTATCCATGAAGTTGCAATGTCCAGTTGACATTTGAAGCATGCATTGCAGCAAGAAATTTGCCCATTAATATTTCTAAAGGGTAGAGGAATTCAAATTGCTGCACTCATGTTTACTGTTTTCTCATTTTCTTTTCCGAACATGATCTTATTCACATGTTTGTTTCAGTGTCTTTAGTCTATGCCCTTCACTCCTATTTAATTGTGTGTCCTTCTCTTCCATTTTTTATTTGAGGAGGATGAGACAGTCTGGTTTCAGTGTTATGTGCTTATCAAGATATCTTCTTGTAGCAAATTCCATGTGTTTTTGTGCTTCTCTTAGGCATGGACAATGATTATGTGTTCTTAATTATATGATATTTATACCCACAGAATTCACTGTTGTCAGAAATCTCTTGCCCTCATGTTACTCATGCCATCCCTTATTATTTATACAGAAAATGCTCTCCTTGGATCCCAGCAAGAGAATAACCGCTAGGAATGCCCTTGAGCACGAGTACTTCAAGGATATTGGGTATGTGCCGTGATTCTCTGCCCCTTCATCCAGAATGCTATTGTAAATTTGGTATGTCATCTACAAGGTTTTGTTCTGGAGAATCTGTGTGATCTTTATAGGGCCTCAAGTTTTTATTCCGTTTTGATTCATGTTCCAGCATCTGTGGTCACAATTCGTGTCCACATGTTGTAGCATACTTTCCGGTGTAATATCCATTTGGTTCTATTCAGGGGTTCAGTATCCTTGTACAATGAATACTTGTTTAGATACAACAATGGATACTGTAATGTTTAAGTAGATTGGATTTGGTGTGTCATTAAAAGTTTTGCATAGTTTTGCCTGGAGTTGAACAAAGCTTGAGTTGATTATCTGACTCCTTGGTTATGCCAGTGCCATTCCTTGATGATGCAGGCTGGTTATATCAAGTTCTATTTTGATGTTACATTCCAGTTTCTGTTGGTTCCAAAATTCATAATTTCAACAACAGTCCTACAACGTACGCCAATATCTATTGCTTAGAGACTATGCAATTATCTCATCTAATTAGCATGGGGCATATAAATGTGAAAATTCTTTCCGAAATGATTCGTCCATTGTGCTTCCGTTTTTCAAGTTACGCAACATGTCCTTTAGTCTAGCACTCCAAGATACATTGCATTGTCAAACGATATGGTGTTATTTCCAAAGAAAAATCAACGAATTGCTTCATGACTGTTTTGAAATACTTCAAATGGTGAATGCAAAGAAACGAAGGAGGTGAAAATAAAGTCATTAAAGGAGAGAGATTGGTCATCAAAGATCATGATTTTTTTTTAAAACCTAAGAGGTAGTTTGGTTTAATGGATTGAGTGAAATAGTGGTATAAATCTGGTTGTGTAATCAAATATTTGGTTTGCTTTCTGAGTCTTGTATAGCTAAATTTGGTAGAATTTAATACGTTAATTGATGTATTATTTTATACTGAAGACCAATGTGGCGTAACAATACAATAATTATGTTATATAAGGTTTAACATTCAAAATGCCAAAAAACTACCATTTTGTGTCTCCTCAAACCCTTGTAGTTCTAAACCACATACAGGTTTACTTTATACTTATATTTTCAACATAATACATAAATGTGCCCTTTAATTTGGCCTTAGCTGACATCTATGCCCTTCAACTTTGGGTTTGCACAAGTAGATACTTAAACTTGTATAAAGTTGAACAACTAGACACATGCATCCTACATGATGTTCTACGTGTATTATGTCATGTAAGACACATGCGTCTACTTGTTCAACTTTGTACAAGTTTAGGTATCTAATTGTGCACACCCAAAGCTGGAGGACATAGATGCCAGATGGAGCTAAGTTAAAGGGCATGTTTATGTATTATGCCAAAAATATATGTGTAAGGTAAACCTGTGGGAAGTCTATAAATATCCCTTTGTCGACTTTTAGACATTTTTTTGAACATTTTCAAACTCTTCTAAGCTTTCGAGTGGAATTCGAGCAATTGGTATTCGATATCAATCGTAGTGAGTTTATATCCATAATTTGTCTTAACTAAAATTGATTATTAGTATTAATAGATTTAACCATGAAAAATTGTTAGATATTCCAAATCCTCAAAGAACTCAAGAAGGATATTTTCTTAGAATTGATTAACATTAGTATTAATAGCTTTAATCAAGAATATTGGTTAGATTTTCCAAATCCTCAAAGAAGTCAAGAAGGATATTTTCTAAGTTGTTTAAATATTAAACTCCACACCTCTATCAATTCATTCTTTGCCACATATATCTTCCTTTTGTTTAATTGAAGAACCTAATATGCTATTGATGATTTGGTTTAGGAAGATGATAAACGTAGTTAGTGTCATGCCCTGAGTCTATATGTTGGGCATGGCCGACACTCATAATCATTTCTAGTTCAAGAGAATTCTTAGCATCATCTATTGTTAAAATGGAAGACCGAACAATTTATGCGGAAGCTTTATAAAAGTTGAGCATCACAATGATTTAAAATAAAAGCAACTCATCTCAATAACTTTATCTAAAGTTTGAAAAAGTCTGAATAATAATAATAATTGAGTTTGAAATCATCTGAAAACCACGACTCGACTAACTCGTTAAAATTGTCTATGACTAAGACTCACAGCTACTTGATTATTCTACTAACAATGACTAATAATCAAATGAACTGAACTAGTTAAACTGAAGCCCTCCAAAAGCAAGGAGGTCTCACCAACAAGCCGCTGATGGAAAGTGATCTTACTGAAACATTTGTTAATGATCACAAACATCATCATTTAAAGATGCAACGCTAAATGACGCCAGTACATGAAATGTACAGTATGTAAAATAGCTAAATAAACAATTGACTAAACTGAGCTGAATGAGTAACTCTCTAAATATTAGTTGAAATAAAGTCAAACTGAATAGTAAATTATTCAAGTGTACTTTAACAACAAAGCTTTATAACTAAGATATATGCAATAATAGCACGACTGAAAATAATATAATTTTACTTTTTAGGAGAGTTTGTCTAACATACAACCATCACGTGAGCTCATGATGATACAACGTCTTGCCCACATTGTCAGGATCATTTTATACCTTACTAGGGTAAATAATGAACTTAAGTAATGGATTCAATCTCTAAGCTCTTACCAAGGGCTTTTTGAGGAGTCGTCTGAATCAACGACATGATCCTATCCTACGCTGGCGGTGCAGTTATGGGGTTTAGATTATTTGAATCCTTACGCAACTTTGTACTTAATACTATTCTTAAAATAATGCAATAATGTTCAATAACTGTTTGATATCTCATTTAAAGAAAATGTTCACTTTAGAGGAAAACTGATAATCTTTATCTTGAGTTTATACTAAAGAAATTTTATAACTGTAATAAACTTGCTTTAAAAGACTATGTTTTTATGAACAACTGATTGTAACTTCTCGAAATTAAGATATGCATTTTTTAAAGCTAATTATGCTTTTCTTTTTGAAAATATGCACTTGAAGCAATTCATGCTTTCTTGAAACTCTTCTGAAATACTACTTTACGACTTAAAATTTACTTTACTCGTGAAAACAATGCATAAGAAATAGTATGTCAAGGTTTTCAAATAAATCTTAACAAAAAAAAGGATCCATGATATCTTAAGCATGAACAACAATCAAAGATCATTAATAATGTGAAGTACTGAAATCTCTATAATGAAATCAAGAATAAACAATACGAATATGGAGATAATTTTGAACATTTTGAATTTTTGGAGAAAAAGCTCTAGTTTTAATCTTACTAACTGAAATCGTAGATGTAGGGCGTGAGGAAGAATTTGGTTCCTCACTATGGTAACCTTACATACTCCGGAGAACAAGAGTAGGTTTTTTCTTCTTGATTCTTGCTCTAAGCTTGGGGAGAAATATATGAGAGTATTTTGAGGTAATACTATGATATAAACCCCAATTAGATACTGAAGCATTGAGGTCTAAGCTTAGAAAGAAAGGGAAAAACTGAAACAACCCCGACTAAAAATTTATCGAAACATTCCATGAGGGCAAACTACATCTGTGGTTTGATCTACGACCCGTGAATTCCATTCATGAAATTCACGCCAAAATTTGAGTCTCAGAAGTTCATTCCACGATCCCAAATTATGGTTTGATTCACGACCCGTGGTTTAGTTCGAGAAAAATCAGACTAAAAATACTCTCTGAAGTTTATTCCACGACCCCAATCTATAGTCCATGGATTGATCCAAAACCAGTAGATTGGGTCTCTCGAAATCAGGCCGAAAGATTAGTTTTTGAAGTGTGATTTCACAAGCTCAATCTACGGTCACCCATAGTTTGAGTTCGTAGAAATCACGTTTGAAATCTCTACTGGGAGTGTCTCTAGTAAAATAGTCATAACATTTTACTCCGGACTCGGGTTGATGCAATCTTGGTAGCGTTGGAAACAAGACTCATAGATAATTTGGTAGGTCATGGGCCACCTATCTCTTACTATGATGAGATATATGATCATTTGAAATTGACCCTTGCATAAATTCATGCGAAAACTTAGCTGATAGAAAAGCTATGAAAGGGACTTAGTGCTAGAGGTCCCTTATGACCCTAAACCACATATATACGATACACTTCATACACTTAGAAATGGAACTTAAGACACGTGTACAAGTATGAAATCATTTAGTCTAAACTTATATGCTTACGACGAATGATTCAGATCCGTAACGTCTAATTTGTGAAATGTTACAGTTAGTAGTAGCAAAAGAGTATTAATACCAGGGTTGATTGATTGGTGAAAGATACTATTTATAAATATTGGTATCATTAGTGTACCTTAGATATTTGATAAGATGTTTACATGGCGTTGTTAATTGGGATATTGTATCCTGGAGGGGGCAAGTCAAAGAGATATATTGCTGGTTCGGGGTAGATTATGCCGCAGTAGACTTGAATCTCCTTAAAGAGAGCGAGACATCTGCGCATCAAATCTGAATATTTTTTTTATTTTTATTTTTAAACGGTAATTTACTTTAATTTATGGTGTATACACCAATAATTTTAAGGAGACCTCAATTTTTGTTACAATTTGATAAAATGCAGATATCGAGATAGAAGATCTCAACATCATTTTGCTTCTACGTTTGTCGCTAGATCTCTCTAAGAGATGGAGGAGAAGAGATGGACATGTAAAGTATTTTTCTACTTGCTCAGTTCAAGTGGGGAAGAGGTATTTTTTTCTTTTTTACCCTTACCTAATATTCTTCATGAATAAAGTAATACTACTTTTCATGGAAATTCTAGAGATAGTGAGAGTTCATGAGTGAAGAAAATAATTCTCTACGAAAAATGATTTTTTACATCTTTGAGTAATGCTCTAAAAATATAAGTACAAGTGCATATATTTATCTTGAAATAAATCACATGTTATTGTTTGGATATGATTGGATATATATTTATTTCTTTGCTCTAACATGTTATCAATGAAATGATTAAAAAATGTTGAGTAGCCATATTAAAATGAAATATTTGAGTGAGATAAATTTAAATTTGAAATGATAAAGATCATAAAATATGTGATGAAATATTTCTTGACAAATCACATTAGGTAAAAATTGTGAAATACAACTTTGTTGATTGTATGAGTCTTGCAATTTCTTTTGATTCAATTGTGTGAAACTGGTATGACAAATAAAAAAAGAAGTTTGTTAGATTAATAGAGATACGTGACTAAAAACTTGACTTGATATTGCATTTGCAGTAAAAGTACTTAGCAGATACAAGCAAATCAAATGAGCAAACATGGTGCTATTTGTTGAAAATGTGAAAAATAAATTATTTGCTAAATCAACCATGGAGGTTGAAGTAAATTTTTTTTTTTTTTAAGTTTCAACCAGTGAAAAAGTGAATTGATTTTATTTTCTCACACACTTTATTTTGAGAAATATTTTTTTCTAATTTTGATTAATTGTGATAACACT